TTCAGAAGTCAGAACCAATTGTACTGTACTCAACGAGTCAACCAGTGTATCTCTGGCGAGAAACAGCCGGAACCGGGCAGCGCAAGACAGTAATAGCTCACTAGTAGCTGTAAAATGAGCGAAGAAACACTGTGCAAACGACCTCTGAGCTTACTCGAAGAAACTTAGTAGTAATACTCGATCAGTACGGCGCAGATCGAGCTGGGCTCGCTGCAGTTATCAAGAGCTCTGATCGATTGCCATTTGTCAACGGTCTACCACTCTGGATACAGACAAAAGCCAAGTAATGGACAGGACAGAGCAGAGCAGAGCTGAATGTCTGGATCAAGAATGGTCATCACCTAGCCAGCAAAAATGCCAAATGCACATGTCATAAGCTGGTTCCGGTCTTTGAAATGGATACGTTCTCCTTCCTTGCTTGCAATACCTACGCACGCGTCTTGTTGCGACGCTCACCGACCGCCCAAGAGGATTTCGTTGGTGAGTACTGCATCTGAACTACCAGTCCTGCAGTCCGTGCAACAAACAATTCGGGGTAGGAGTAGACCAGCTGACCCGGCATTTTTCTTATAATTCAGTTGCATTGCGGTGTCTTCTTTTTTCTCTCTCCCGTCGACGAGTCAGTTTGCAAATGGACCATATACTGATATACAACATATATTCCGAGGTTTGGTCAGCTCTTTTCTGCGAACAAGTCTGAACATTGGCTCTGCCTAGCCTGACGTACTGACCGTTCGGTGAAACGTGAACATAGAACACAAGTGTCACTCGCTCCACAATATAACTCATAGTACGATCACATGAACAGCATGGGTCACTCACTATTTTTTCCCCTACCCCTTTCCACTGTCTTTCCAATTGTTTAAGGTACCATATGCTCAAGTGGTCATCATAATCACTTGTTAACAGCTAGCTAGCTAGCTCGTGGAATTAATCATTCATTCTCTGACGGAAAAAGCGACGTCTGGGTTGGAATTGCAGTTAGGTGGAGTCTGTCGGACCCTCTTTCTTTTTCCCTTCCTCTGCCTGCCGCTGCTACTCATCTCTATGCTTTTAAGCATTTTAACTAATCCCCATCACCTTCTTTAGGCACCACTGGTTGGAGGGAGCAGTAGTTGGAGCGTCTTCGCTTACGCTAAACGCCGTCCGTGCCATGCCAGCAGATGGCAACAACGCTTCCAGCTCAAGGGAAACAGGGCAAAACAGGGGGCTCAGGCTATGTCCAGTGCAACTCTGGAAATTCTTTTGCTGTTTCGTTACACTTACTGCGACAGCAACAGGGGCCAAGTGAATAAGCAAAGCAACAGCAGGTAAGGTAGGAGTAAAAATAGATCCGCCGGGCGCCGGTGGTAGGAGCCGACAGGGAAGCAGCGGGAGCAGGTCGATGGAGTCATCATGGGGAGCGTGTTGTTTCTCCGGCAGAAAGGCGGTTGTTTGCTTTGCTCCTTCCCTTTTCCCGGTCTCAGCATCCAGGAAACGAGCTGCCAATGCTCGCTAACTACCATTAACTATTGCTCTGTACCGATCACATGCTCTGATTGAGCTTGCACATGTCTGAAACTATGGCGGTGTGTGCAAGCTACAGAAAGAATACAGTGATACTTACGTACTGTTTGGTTGGATGATTTGTAATGGCATCTGATTACGGTGGCACTGATAACGTTAGATTCTGTTTGTTTTGCTTCCACTGTAAGCGCATCACGCCGTTAGATTCTGTTTGTTTTGCTTCCACTGTAAGCGCATCACGCCGTGAAGCGATATGGGCCAAGAGAAATCTCATACCGCTCAAACCTGTCCGTAATCTGTTCGCCTCATCTTCCCCTGGATATCTTCGTCCAGTTCTTTCCCAGCGCGAGCGCCGCCCATCCCCACTGCCTCTTCGCGTCCTAGCGTGACTCCACCCCTTCCCGTCCTCTCTGCCTTCTCCAATCTTGGCCTGCAGAACCACGCCGCCCATGCCGCAACCCTAGGTGTTCTCATCTCGTCGAGGCCGTCTGTGCGGTGATCCACTCCGCTGCCCAGAAATTCCAGACGTCCATGGACGATGTCGTCGCTGGTGAAGAAACACTGTCACTTGCTCCACACCGTGATGGCCTCATCGAGCTAGGCGAGCGCCGCCGCCACCTGCACCGGCACCAGCGAACGCCTCTGGGCGAGCGCCGCGGCAATCTGCTCCGGCACTAGCGAACGCCTCGTCGACTTACTACGACTCTGCGAGATGATGAGCGACTCGCAGACCAGCCTCCCGCCATGGACGAGCACGAGGTGGATGCAACTGGCCGCGGCGTGCATCCTCGACTCCATCAACAACGCTGCATCTCGAGTTCACACTCGAAGCAGGCACGCAGCGGCGCCGAGCATGAAGATCTACGATCTCGCTGTTTATCCAATTCCTTTACGGACACGAACCAAACAAAGCCAGTATTCGCTTAATCTGTTTCCATTTGCGGCGTCTTCCATTACTGTTCATGTTTACGTTTACCTGATGCAACCAAACAGCTCCTCAGTGGGAGAAGAAACGGGGTGGGCGATGCATGTTTGTTGGGGTGGACAATTATGCATTTTGGCACATTGGTAAACAGGACACGTACTTTTGTATTTGTCCTAAAAAAAGGATCCCTTGGGTTCAGATTCCATGAGTGGGTGGGTTGCAATTTTTTCCCCTGGTGTCTTGGTTCAATCATCACGTAATCTTCAGCTTTTGCGATGTGATTTTGATGTAGGCTTTGTAAGAAAAGGTTTGGGTGATGCATGCTTAAGCTTCAATCCTCCATTTTGGTATGTTTCCATTTCGTGAGGCTGGAGTGCTGGACCAAAAACGGAAATCGCTAGTTTGATTAGTTGTTCCCAGAAATGGGAGAATCTCAGTAGCTAATTATCAAGTGATATTGAAGCCACTCTATCGAATATAATGATAATATGCTTCGCTTGTAAGATTAGCGACATCAGCGACGGTAATATCAGTTGATTGCAAGAGACAGCTCAAATTGAGTGATTGTGATCTGTGAGTCCTTCACTTTCTGAACTCTGATAGGTTTGCTGTGCAGATTCTCATGAAATGCGTCTACTACTGCACTTACTGTAATTTGTGACTCGTAAGTCCTACACTTTTAATAGATCTCCTATAAGAGTACTCCTATATAATCACAAAGTAGTAGCAGTGGTGGTGGTGGTGGTGGTGGCCATCAATTCAACAACAACATGTGAGGTAAAAAACTAAAAGTTGGATGGATTACATAACCCACTTTAGGCTTTGTTTGGATGCATGTGCATTCACTTTAATCCACACGTGTTTGAGTGGACTGGAATGGAATTTAGTTTAATTTCACTCCAATCTACTTCAACACATGTGGATTGAGATGAATACATGCGCATTCAAACAATGCCTTAGTTGTTTGAACTCATGCTCTAGCAATTCTAATAAGTGGAAGCAATTAGAGTTGCTTTATCCGTTCCAAAAATAAGTTGTTTTAGTCATAAGTCAAACTTCTCTAACTTTAAGAAAGTTTATTAAAAAGTACACCAACATCCACAACATCAAATTTGTTTCATTAAATGCGCCATGAAACATATCTTAATAATACATTTATTTTGGTTTGATATACATATAAATATATATTGGTTGGATAAAGTATATTTTTCAACAGAGGTAAGTCTAATTTTCAACCCTCAACTACATAAACGGATAACGGACATCCACCAAACTGTTGAAACTAGACAAATTTATTCCTCTAACTAGTTTCAATGGTTTCTATTTTTTTATAAATAATAAAAATCTAGTTCGATCTCTAAAAATTATAATTAATTTATATTAATTTAGAATATATGAAATCAGTTTCATTTTTTTTATAAATTTGTTATCTATCTATTGATACTCTATTTAGAGTTATTAGGATCTTATTGATTTTAAATAACTAACGAGCATGACTACAAGCAATAAAGCTAAAGGAATATAAATTTAACCAGTTTCAAATAACTATATATAGATCATACTTTCTGATTTAAAATAAATTAATAATGAAATTTATGAGACCAAACCAGTTTTTTAAAAAATAGAAAAAACACTTATGAAACTAGCTGAAGGACTAAGTTTGTCTAGTTTCGACAGGTAGAAGGTACTAATTACCTAGTTTTATAGTTTATGGTTGAAAATCAAACTGACGTACAATTTGAAAGTTGAAAGATGTACATTATCCAAATTAGAACGACTTACAATTTGGAATTAATGGAATATGTATGACTATGGCTTTCCAACCAGTTTGTTTCGCATTAATTTGCACACAATTAGAGGTAGATAATAACTCCATTTTTAGTCAAGTCATAGGACACATCAAACTTTATCTCCACTATGAAAAGCGCACTAATTTGTTTTTTGGACAATCCAACAGCAAAACACTAGACGACAGCAATCATATGAGGTCGTAGTACACCCCCACTGAGCCCATAACCAACTTCTTTGACTTAACGGGTGGCTCAGGCCAAATCTTCAGCTATGCAGAGACATGGCCCTGCCCCTAACATTAGGCAAGAGGACCTAGGCTTTCGTTTGACGTTACATGCTTCCTCTTTCCCTGGGCATTTCATTTCTGTTGGGATCATGTTGCATGGATTGGACCATTCGACAATAAATACCTTGACTTTGTGAGGCTTATCAGACATCAGCCTGCATAACAGATTTTGTCGGTCAGGAAATAGTGGTAAAAGTGGTGGGAGTAACGTAACTTGAGCAGTAGTTTACTTCTGCAGCATCTAACACTTTCAGATTATGACAGTAAATTGATTCTAGTGCAAGATACATGAGTAATTTAGCTGCCAGCTCTCAGATGACCTAATGACCCGTGCTTCCAGCAAATTCGCCCACATGGTTCACAACTCGGCTCCAGCGGAGCGTCAAAACGTGTTTTTGCAGAGGAACCGGGTTTTCAGCTGAGGAAGCCCAGGAAGGTTCTTGGCTTTGCTTTGGGTTGAAACAATGGGGAGAAAAGGGGTACTGGGTACAACTAGTGATTGGAAGGTCCTGATCGACGCTGATGCAGGAGCAGACGCTTAAAAGCAGGGGGGGGACGCAAAGATTCCTCCTCCTTTTCCAGCTCGGCCCGGAAAGCCGGCAGGGGAGGCACATGGGTTGCTGCCTCGCTAATTTTCCTCATCAGATGATCCGTCAAATTGGCATGGCATTGGGGGGCCGGGCAGGTAGAGTCAAACGTCGGCATTTGGGAATCGGACACCGCATGTTTCTCGTCTTCCTCAGATAGCGGCTCCTCTGGTGTTTGCTTTCTCACTTGCAGCTTCACAGAGGCAGCCCAGTAGGCATCTGGGGAGAGGTAGCTAAGTAGGTCGCGTTCAAATGATTTGGTGAGCATGACACTTGCCCTTCTTGGATGAACTTTCAGTGTGATGAAGTTAGATCCCCTGGGAATCGAGCTGAAAATAATGTGTGTAAAGCTTGTGGTTGCAGAGGCGGAGCTCCCCATACGGCAGGGTGGGGCAGCTGCCCCACCTACCGCCGGCGAGGAGAGCTCCCACCCAGTGGCGGAGCCAGGATTTTTAGACAGGGGGGCCAGCCAAGTTTAATTAATAGATTGCTATAATTGAACTCACAGGGAAGATGAAGATTAGATATACTTTACCAAATATATCTCATATAAAGTCATGGTTTCATATTTTTCATTACATAAAAGTTATTGCAAGCAAAAGTATTCATAGAAACTAACATTTTTTATTTTAGTCTTACTCTGCATGTCTTCATATCATAGAAATTATCAATAAGTGTATCAGTTGTGAACTCCATTGCAATCTCCTTCTCAATGTATATTATTAAGCAATCTCTCAGAAATTCATCTCCCATTTTATTTCGAGTCTTGTCTTCACAAGCTTCATTGCAGAGAATGCCCGCTCTGATGTAGTTGTCGAAACTTGTAGAGTTAGAACAAGCCGAATCAATCTGTCAAAGAAAAAATGCTTAGTATTTGCCATCTATAAAAATGATTTGGGATAATAGATAAAAAATAAGGGATGTTATATAACCTGTCAATCAAATAATAGTCATTTGATTTTCTAGTTTCAGCTAGTCGACGGCATAGATTAGCAATAGTTGATAAATTCTGGAGCTGTGGATTTGCGAGGACATCAAGCTCATAATGTTGTAATTGATGTCTCAAGTTATTTCTTTCTTGTTCAGAAAAATCAGCAGGATAGAACTTTGAAGCTAGCAGGCAAATATCATCAATTTTGAACGATCTAAATGAATCTCTAGGATCCAAAGATGTACACAAAATGAGAAGCTCTGTGGCTTGTTCACTGAACCTGTTATTTAACTCATGTAATTGTTGATCAATAGCAACTGTGAAAATGTCATATTTGTAGTGATGCTCAACTGATAGCTCATTCTCAGCACGAGATCGAATATAGTCCGCATAGAAGGCATTCATATTTGACACTTGTATTCCTTGTTTTATGCAAAATGATGTCACATCATTAAAAAGGGCACTCCAGCCATGATCTCTTAAACTTTGGATCAATTTCTTGGTAGTGGCCACATCATCCATAGCATTGACAATATCCTGAGTTTTTTGCTGTAGCTTTTTGTAAAGTAGGTCTGTGATGCCCATGAGTTCTTTCATAACATGCAAAATAAAAACAAAGTCAAATGACATCATTAATTTAATAAAGACCAAGAAATTTTTTGCTCGTCCCAAAGCAGGTGTGCTTCCTGAACCTTTAGCAATAGCAATATCTTTCAATACTAGAAATGTAGGCTTGTAAAGCTTTAAAAGACTACAAATTGAATCATAATGTGAGCTCCATCTAGTATCCTCAGGACGATGCAAGGTTCTAATCTGGTTAGCACCACTTCCAGTTTCAAGCTCATTAAGTTCAATTAGATGCTCCATTTCAGCAACTTGATTGTCATGAAGGTCATCATTTCTCTTAGTGGAGGACACAACAGTATTGACAACAACAACAAGATGTTCAAAAAAATTATGAACCTCAGTTACTTCTTTGGATGCAGCAACAAGAGCTAATTGTAATTGATGGGCAAAGCAATGGACATAATATGCATAAGGACACTCTTCCATAAACTTTGCTTGGAGTCCATTCCACTCTCCTCTCATGTTACTAGCACCATCATAACCTTGTCCATGAATATTTTGGACATCCAAATTATGGGCAGATAAAATAGAGCATATTTCTTGTTTTAGAGTTGCAGAGTTTGTAGCATGAACATGCACAAGATCCAAAAAACGTTCTCGGAAAAAGCCTTCTTTGTCAACAAAACGAATAACAACTGCCATTTGTTCTTTTCTGGACTCATCTCTTGATTTATCAACAATCAAGCAAAACTTAGCATCACCTATTTCATTACGAATGGCTGTTTGCACATTACTAGCCATAAGGTCCAAGATTTCTTTCTGAATCTATGGTGATGTGTATTTAGCATTCAATGGAGCATTATCCAGTACCATAGCCTTTACCTCATCATCATAAGAAGCTAGAAGTTTTACCATCTCAAGAAAATTACCTTGGTTTTTTGAGTCAATAGATTCATCGTGTCCTCTGAAAGCACAAGCCTGGAATGCTAACCATCGGACTGCATCAATTGATGTTCGAAGACGGAGTATATTCTTTTTTATTTCTTCATTTGTTTGCTTCTCCACTGCATGTATAATATGGCATGGCTGATTCTTTAAATTCTCATAACACTGAACATTGTATTTATGAGCTGAACCACAATCTTTTCCCATGTGAATCATGAAGGCACAGTTTGATCCATCATTGACTTTCTTCCAACTTCTAAATCCTTTTACTGTGAATGCATTAGATCCTATTTTCCCAACTGGTTTCTTTGAAAACAGAAAGCATGGAAAACAAAAGGCGGCATCTTTTGTAGGTGAATACTCTAACCAAGGAAAAGATTTGAACCAATTAAACTGAAATCTGCGTGGATGTTTCTTCAAACCTGAAGGAGGGTACACATCTTTAATAAATTGGTACGGACCGTGCTTCATATATGTTCTAATAACTTGGTCTTATTCATCTGGAGGATAATCCCAAATTTGGCAACGCAAGCCTGGATCACGTAAAACACTTGTACCTTCACAATTAACTCTCTGAGTGCGGGACAGCGGTGCGCAGGACGCCGGACGGCGAGAAGACGATCCCCGCGGCCAGATGGGCGCGCGACGTCAGGGCCCGCGCCAAGGCGCTCGCGGCGGAGGTCGCCCGTGCAGTGAAGCCAGGCGGGAGCTCGTACGCTGATCTAGAGCTGTTGGTGCAGGAAATCCGGAAGCTAGCAAGCTAGCTCACTTCAGGTTCAGGACTAAATTCAGAAATAAAGCAATCATCTTCATCGATAAAGCATATACTTTCAGACATTCAGATTCTGTTGTTTTCTCCGTTGTTGCAAGGAGTATTACTGTACTGATGAGGGCATCAAGGAGCTGAACTTCTCTGTAGCTTGAACTTGATTCTATCTCTAGAACGATTTAGAGGCATCAGAACAACTTCAGCAGTAGCCCCAAAACGAAGGCCCCCAAATCCATATTAGTAGACAATGACATAAGGGGCCCACTTGTCATTGGGTCAAATCTATCTTCTTCCCCAAATCCACCCCACATACCATGACGCGGGCAGAACGAGCACTCACTTTGTGTGGCAGGCAGGGCTGCGAGAGGCCGAGCTCATGGCATGCCAAGCGAGGGGACCGAAGCCCACACGGCACGGCGCAAGCAAAGGGAGCAGCCAGCCTCATGCACACCAGGGCCATGGGGAGGAGAAGGGCCGACGCCGGGAGGGAGGTCGTGGGCGCCATGGCGGGGGGGGCTTGAGCTTGCGCATGCCTGTGTGGAGAAGGGCCAGCGCGCCATGGCGGGCGGCGGCGAAGGGAGGAGCGGCACGAGCCCTCCGTCCCCCTTCTGTGGATTTGGTCGCTGGAGCTCATCTGGAGGAAGCCACCGGAGGGAGAGGAGCCGTGCCGCCGATGCTCGATCTCGCTTCCGCGAGAGGGAGGAGAGGGAGCCGCTGGCCAGGTGCTCACACCCGCCTTTGGGACATCATGACGCTTGTCGGAGGAAGCCACCGGAGGGAGAGGCGAGCAGCCCAGACGGATGGGGGCAGGTTGTTGGCCCAACCAAAATGGGGTCTGTGAGAGGATTTGGTGCCCACACAAATTTAGGGTTCGTAGTAGGGGGCTCTGCACTGGAGTTGGATTTTTTACCTGAGCCCTCATATTTAGCTATGGAGGCTCAAGTAGGGGCCCTGCTGGAGTTGCTCTCAGTAACCTCTGCTTTGTGTGCTTTCCCATGTGTGCACACGAATAATTGGCTTCTGTTTCGCGCTCACAGTTCTGCTGTATCTGTATGTTTACAGGAGCTGAGCAGCTAATGGAACTCCCATCTACCGCTTGTCCTGCGCAGCAGCACAGCTCTTTAAGCACAATCAGCATCTTTATGGAGCTCATGCACTATGAGGCCTTGTTTACGCAGGTTTTTTCATCTTCTGATGGAGCTCAAATCTTTGACATATGTAGTTTACTATAGATAAAAAATAACTAATTACATAGTTTAGTTACGTCAGTGTCAGCCTAGTTAGACCATGATTGAACAATTTATAAAATACAAACGAAATGCCACATTGCCACAGTACAAGACTGCAACCAGTGACGGACTGACGGAGGTCAGCCAAGATTTTAGGTGGGGCAGACATACCATGGTGGTGTGCGGCGAACCGGACGACAGACAGTGGCCTGCGTCCTACGGTGGCTAGGTTCCTCGCCGTTCGACGTCCGCAGTCTCGCCTACTCACCCTCACGGTGGCCTATGCACTAGAACGAGCGATGAAGGGTGAGATTGGCGGATGGGCTTGTTGCATATTGGGCTAGTATGAGTGTTCGGCTCCGGGCTTTCCCTCCTTGGGCCACGATAGGAAGCCGCAGCGCATCGTCTTCAGCTCTCGGCCGTCTTCATCCTCACGCCGGCAATAGCAAACTGGAGTCTACTGAGGACAAGAAGGAAGGTGGAGGACAGAGGTGGGAGCTCTCCTCGCCGGCGGTAGGTGGGGCAGCTGCCCCACCCTGCCATATGGGGAGCTCCGCCTCTGCAACCACAAGCTTTACACACATTGTTTTCAGCTCGATTCCCAGGGGATCTAACTTCATCACACTGAAAGTTCATCCAAGAAGGGCAAGTGTCATGCTCACCAAATCATTTGAACGCGACCTACTTAGCTACCTCTCCCCAGATGCCTACTGGGCTGCCTCTGTGAAGCTGCAAGTGAGAAAGCAAACACCAGAGGAGCCGCTATCTGAGGAAGACGAGAAACATGCGGTGTCCGATTCCCAAATGCCGACGTTTGACTCTACCTGCCCGGCCCCCCAATGCCATGCCAATTTGACGGATCATCTGATGAGGAAAATTAGCGAGGCAGCAACCCATGTGCCTCCCCTGCCGGCTTTCCGGGCCGAGCTCCCATCCGCAGAAGAAGTCGGCGACAACCGCGACGACGGGATCGGGCTGCGCTTTAACCCACGCGAGGATGGGCCTGCTTAGCTCGGCCAAGGCGTGGACGAAGGCGGGGAAGTGCCCCGGGCTGCAGCCCTTGGTGTTCTCGAGCCCCGGGGGCAGAGACGGGTGGGAGGGGAACGGGAAGGTGGCGGCGCGGACGGCGGTGGGGTGCGCGGCGAGGAGAGGGGAGAGGAGCTGGAGGTTTGCCGGGGTCGTGACCACGGTGAGGCGGAGGCCGCGCGACGCCAGGAGGGCAATGAAGTCGAGGAGCGGCAGCGCGTTGCCCTGCGCGGGGAAGGGGATGACAAGCACGTGCGGCGCCGCCTCGGGGGTAGGGGCCGCCTCCATGGCTGGGGCCTATGTGGCAGAGCGGCGGATGCCGGGTGGAGAGACCGGACACCGGAGACGGAGAGACGGCCAGACGGGGGTGTCGTTTTCACCGCCGGTAGAAACGTGTTAAGTAAGGCAATTGTAGTATATCTGGCAATAGCCTGATATTCTTGATTTGTGATTGTTACATATTTAGTATCTGATCAATCAGTTGTAATGTGATTATAATCTTGTGATTCTTTCTGTAATTGTCCCTTGATGTAATAATACAAAATTACAAATACATGCCAACCCCCATTGGGTTGTGCACGGCTAATTACTCATCGTACAAAACGGCCGTCTTGTACATCAACAGCGCGCCCAAACAACACAAACGCACGCGGCTACGTGTACGTCAGGGAACCATACTATTCATTACATACGTGTTCTATTTTTATAGCACATGCTTGATTACTAATTGAAACTAAAAAATAAGAGTCAATAGTCAATTTAGATACCGGGGCTTATCGCTAGCTAGCTAAAATTTGTCAAAATTAGCTATGGTGCATCCAAATAAAAGAGCTAATAGGTGGGCTAATGTTTTAGCCAAGTCTTGAGCTAGTTGTTAGCTAATTTAGTAACTAGCCATGTATATCGAAACAGGTCATAACTTAAATACTCAATATGAAGTCGTCTAGCTAATTGTCTAACAGCTAGTTAAAGGCTTGACTAAAAACTAATCCTCCTCTTTGGATGTACTTGGAAAAAAATTAACTAATTGTTTACTAGCTAACAATTAACCCTTGTATCTAATTAAACATATCCATACACAGAACACACATAGGTTATCTGGACTCTTACACGCACCATGACACCACTAGCCCCAATAATCGTAAATAATATAAATAAATATAAATAAAATAAATAAATAAATAAGATGTAACCTGAGAAACCATGTCATATCAAAACTATTAATAAACTAGTCGTAGTATCTCGGCACACGTCACTTAATAAACAGTTAAACTGGTATCCAAAAACAACCCACTTTAATACTGTGAAAATTGATCAACATAGATTGATATATACAAAAATGATGTAGATATTTCATCACTCAACATAATTTTTTTGGGTTCAGAAGCAAGCGAACGATGGATGACGCCTGCCCACATGAACCAACTCTGTGAGGAGAGGATGCGGCTTTTGCTTAGGCCCTTGGACAGTTCCTTAGCGTCTGTTAAAATCTATTAATGTTGATAGTTAATAGCTAAATTATTAGTAAGTGAAGGTTTAGACAACACCTTGTACTAGGGCTGCTAATAACTACTCGTTCATTAGCTAAGTGAAGGGCGCTAACAAGCACTAATGGTTCATTTATTTGCACCTTCAACCACTTATACAAGCACCTATTAACAAGTGGATCATATTCATACTAATAATTAGCTATATGACCATCTGCACTATCATTTTTGCAAGGTTATCATGCAGAAAAGCATAATCTATGCATGCCACATCCTCTTTAGGAGCAGAACAATGTAAGAAACTGGTTATTATTAGTTCTTTTGAGGCTAGCATGACGAGAGGTCTGGAGTCGAGGGTTGAAATAGGCTGATGATACCGTGGGAAGCAAAGAGGGAGATTGCTTTGTAAAGGAAAAAGTCCATTCTACTTTCTACCTCCCTAAACTATCGTCGTAGTCTGAGTTTCTTCCCCAGACTTCAAAACCAGACATTTTGAAGTGGAGTGGTTTAGCATTAAAACAAGTTTATACACCACTTAGAATGTTTTTGGAAATTTCTAGTTTTTATGGATAATTTTCCCTATTTTCCTGCTAAATTTATTTTCTAAGTATCTAGAGATATTTTCATGAGCTCTACATATTTTATTGGGAGTTTTTGTATCCCAATATATCTCAATTTTTTTTGGTTTTTAAAAGCATACATATATTTTCTATGGTTTAAAAACCTTATCAAGTTTTTATTGTTCTTTGAAAATATAAAACACCCTCAAAACCATTTGAAACTAGGATCGAACGGTCTTAAAAGTTGAAAGGGTAAAATTTCTAGTTTGAAGTTCAAGGAAAAAAAATCAAACTACGTTTTCCCTTTCTAAAAGCCTGGACCAAACCTGTTCGGGCCCTGGGCTTGATGACGTGCTGTGCATGGTCTGAAAGGCGTTGCCAATCTCGGACTCTCGGTCCGGCTTAAAGGCCCGTCGAGGCCCAGCAGGGAATTAGTCGGCCCCTTTCACTAAAACTAGGTGAGGAATCTACCAACTGCTTTTCTTCTCCCGTCCACCCCGAGTGGCTAGTGCGCTCCTCTCTCTCGGCGACGACTGGGCTACCGCCGCCGCCGCCAGACTTCGTCGGGCACTTCGCCGGCGAAGATCTCCCGCCAGGTATCCCCACCCTCTCTTCCCTTACTGCTGTGCGAAACTAAGGACCCAATGACCCTAACTTAAGCTATTTGGCTATTTCTACTCGGATCCGATCTAATTACAAGTGCAACAGGATCCGAGGAGGTGATGGTGAGAAGTGACAGCTGCCTGGCGCGCGTGGGTGCCGGAGTTGCCATCGGTGGCGCAGTCGGCGGAGCCGTCGGTAACCTTCCTCCCCCCCACCCCCCCCCACACACACACACTAAACCCTAGACTTGCAGCATCCATCCGTGCGAGCTGCTTCGCCCGTGGGTATGTTTGTTGAAGTAGATTAGTGTGTGATCTCAGGGATCTTCTCGAGCTAGCTACTACAGATCCTTGGTTTGTCTGGTTAGCTGGCGGCCGCAGATGTAATAAAAAGGTGACTTTTGTTAAGAGTTCGTGCTTAGGTAGCATCTTCAGGAGATGTAATATATCGATGCTCTAGTTGAGTTTGTTTGTCCAATTGCTTGTGCTTTAAGGCCTGTTGCTGATTTGGTGTGCCGTGGTTTGGGTAATTTGCTGGTGGTGGGTAGGACTTGGGATGAAAAATGTAAGATCAAAAGCTTGTTCAATGCCACTTTGGAAT